TAACTTAATTAATTAATTAATTAATTTAAGTTTCTTAGTTTTTTATTTTTTGAAAAAAAACTCAGTATAAAAAATGGAAGACCATTTAAACACTATAACGTCAATGGAAAAAGCATCAGAATCAACCATTGAAGTGTTATTCGACTTCGACGTAGAAGTTGTCAACGGGAACGCCACATTTGTCGCCTCTGGAGTCCCAACTCCAGAAGAAGTTGTCAATTCTATCACTAGTGGATTTAGTGATTATTCATTTGCCAATCAATCGAAAATTATGTCTCAGTCATCACTCATTACAATTCAAAAACACTCTTTTGCTTTGTATGTTACTAAAAACAGTGACTCTGAAAAGAAGACACAAAAATTCAAATGTTGTTTTGAAAAGTGTAAATTACAAGTTGTTATTCTTTTAGATTCAACAAAAACGTGGGTACAACAAATTACTTTCACAAACGGACACTCACATAACTTTGAAACTGATATACCAAAACATGTAAGTTTGGTGTTTACAAAAGATCAAATATATAAAATGAATCAATTGGCGACTGCACACCTTACAGCTGCTCAAATCGCAACAACAATGAACTTGAATGTAAGTACTTCAATAATTAGAAGGCTTTTAAATAGTCACTTTAAGAGATTCACACCTGACCAAACCAAAGAACTTTACAATTACTCAGAAAATACACATATTTTTTCAACACATTTTGTAAAGAATAAAGCAGGGCAATTTGTTTCCTTTTATGCTTTCAACATAAATCAAATTAATACTCTGTATTCACAAAGAATTTTTGTTGATGACACCGCCATGACAAATGTTTTCAACTTACCTTTGGTTGTTGGTGTTTCACTTGATGGTCACAATGCTATGCATGTCGTTTTTTTATGGTATTCTTAGAGACCGCACGACATCTTCCTTTCGATCTTTGTTTTCTTTTATATCAAAATTTCGTGTATTTAATGTTGTGGTGTGTGATAGGTGTATGTCACAAATCACTGCTATGAAAGAAGCGTTCAATGGTATCAACTTTGTATTCTGTCATCGACATATCGTGCGAGATTTAATTGTTGCATTTGGAGAAAAGTCAACAGTTGTCAGAAAGTGGCATATGATGATTAGCGGTTCTGTAAGTGAAAGTGACTTTTTGGAGGAACTTGGAAAGTCGACTGGGTTTATTAAGGATGAAGATGGATATGACAAGAAACAGTTTATAGACGATAGAATGATTGTCAAAGAAATTATAAATGAAATGAAAGACGTACTCGACAAACACACCACAAACGACAATACCGTTACAAAGATGAGACTTGTAAGTAGTATAATAGAATCAGCGACTAGTTGGTTACCATCTTGTACATGTGTTATATCCAATCATACCACTTCCAATTGCATAGAAGGTTATTTTGGCATATTAAAGTTGAAATTTGGTGGTAAAGAAGTTTCTTTATTGGAAATTGCACAACTTATTGAATCCGATGCAACCAAATTTGATTTAGAAATTGGTTTCAATTATGAAATGTGTAAAGGTGTTATCGATCATAATGTGTTATACCTACTTCCCAAAGAAGTGTTAATAAATATAATGAAATTATTTAATTTGGTTTTAGGAGGTAATGATACACACTTGGATGATACAACAATGGCATCGTGTTCATGTGCGGCTTTTAGAACCAACAATTTCCCATGTATCCACGTTATCGCACTTTACGTTGAAAGAAATCAACTCCCTCTGCCTGCGATTTTGTTTGGAAAAGAATGTTTCAAAAGAACAATTTGTGTGCACACCAAAGAGACTATTGAAACAGAAGACACTGTTAAATGCTCAAAAAGTCGTAGAGATTTGCATTTTGCATTGGAGTCAATTGAGAATGTATTGAAAGATGACCAAACTCTCAGAGTGTGCTATTATAAATATGTTAACCATGTTTTACAAAATAAAAAAGAAGCGATGGAACATATCAACGAATTGATTGTGGAAGAAGGAGTAAAAAGAATGAGACCAAGTCTTGTTGTAACCAAGGATTCACGTGGGAGGAAATCAATTTTTTCCAAAGAAGATGAATCAACAGATTTTGAACCAATAGCAAAACGTATTTCTATTGTTAATAACAATAAAAAGGAAAAGGAAGACAAATTTGTTGACGACTTGGTTGAGCCTTCTAGACAGTTTCAACGAGGATACAGACCCAGAGTCATGGTTGAAAAAGTCACACATCCAAGTATGAACAGAACAAAAAGAGAGCCACCAAAACTACCCGACTCTTTTAGAGAATGTTCACAACAAGCTAAAATGTTTAAACCCAAAGAGAGAGTCTATAAATGTGGGTATTGTGGATATGTCGGTCATTCAGTTGGAACATGCCAAAAGAAAAACAACGAATTATCAAAAGTCAATCACATAAACAAAGAACAAATAGTCAACAAGTGTCCTATATTCTTTGGTTTACCTCATTAATAATTAAAATTTTGGTTTTATGTTGTTTAAAACAACAAATTACAATCTTTGGAAAACGCAGTTATTAAAACACATACTAATCAAGATAGTTTTTAGAAACCACACAAAACTTTAGAGTTGATATTTAATTTCTTAATGTTGTCTCTTTTGATGTTTACTATTAGTTGTTACAACATAAATAATAATTTGTTTTCACGTTTTGTATAATACTATATCTAATTAATCTATTCTTTTAAATGTATTCACTTGTTGTTTGTGTGTGTAGTTGTGTTCTTATTTTGTTATTTTGTCATTTGATGAGTCATTCATAATCCCATTTTTATTAATATTGAATGTGACTTCAATTTCAGGATTTAACCATACTGGTAAGATACCACTCAACAAGAACTGGCAAAGCAAACTCCTATGTTGCACCTTTAATGTCTCACAGTTAAATGTTGTGATGTAAACACTCAATTAGTTATAAGAAATTTGGTGTGATTTTTCTTGTAAATGTTTAATTTCGTATCACTTACCCACTCATAACACCACCTGTAGTCCAATCTTAACTAATGCTATACCAAACAGCTCGACATTCGTTGCGTCTCTTCTGATAAAAACAAAACGACTGCTTATATTTCATACTTCTTAAATAACTACCTCATCCTTATTTTAAAAAAAATTACATCCAATCACTATAACATTATACCATGAGTCAACTGACATATAATTACAGTATTATTAATGGTTGTTTTTACAATTGTTGTGTCTCAAAATTGATTTTTAATTGGCAACTTAATTTTAAAAAATCGTTGTTTAGTTATAAAATATTTCTTTGGTGATTGAAATATCAATGTTAAAGTATTTTATTAAATGGTCAAATTTATACTTTGTTGGTTTAAAAAGAATATTTGATTGAATCGACAACAGTTTATTTCAATTCAAACAACTCTTGTGTTGTTTGTTGTTTTTCTTTATTTTTTTATCGAACTTTGTTTTTTATTATTAACTACATTGATATGAGAATTTAAACACAAAAGTTTGCGTTGCTATTTACAGTTGATTACTTTTTTTCATTCGAAAAGAGTAATAAACTTCAAAAATGTGTCCGATTGTACTTTATTGAGATAAAAAAATAAAATTTTTATTGCTCATTGTAGTGTCTATATTCCAATGTATATACTTTAACTTGGACAAAAAATGAAATGAAGAATTAAACATTCGATAAAACCTCTGAAGAGCGGATTCTTTCATGAGCATGTCTTTTTAGATTAAAACCAAAATTTGAGTTTTCTATTGAGCTATTTTATTGTTTGATTAAATAGCTGACCGCTCTTGAGAGAAAAATTTACCATATACTCCCGCTTTTGAGAGGTTTTACTCTATAATGTTGTGATTTTTCACAATGAGAACTTTAGAATAAATAGTGTATCTACCAATGGAATTGGTTGTTACTGTATTTAAAAAGCAGGATTTAAATTAATTGTTTTGATACTTTCGTTTGATAGAAAGAAATGAAAAATGACAACATATATTTTCAGTTTTTTGAGATGAAAAAGATAAAAAATTACCCTATCCATTTCTCTAAAATCGAAACCCAATAATATGAAATATTTATATTGTTAGAAAATAATAATTTATTAATAGCGGGGTGCGGGTGTAAAAGATAAATCCCGATGAAATATAGGTGATTCAAAATATTAATTAAAATAAAAAATACTTTTTTATAATATAATAAAAATTAACAATTATTACTTGTGTTTATTTGACTTTTATAATATTTAATCATTTCATTATTAATTTATAATAGAATTTGTTTAATAATGATATGAAAAGACAAAGCAAATTACGTTATTGTTTCTTGACAAAAATATATAACAATAATGACATTTGTAAATGGAACACTTTTTATCAATTATTGTGATTATAATAAAATGTATTATAATTATAGTTTTGTTATACAACAAATATAATCAAAAAATCATATTTTTGTTAATGCTAAAAAAACTATTTTTACTTATCAAAACATAGAAGTTACTTTATTTATAATTTGTGAAAACAATGAATGTTTTAATGAACGTTTTTGTATGATGAACAAATAAATAATTGAAGAAAAAACACATCAAAAATAATATAAAAATCATAAATGCTCATAACATTTAGCTCATTTCCCGTTTTTCTCGACACAATTCATTAATTATTTCAATAAAAATTTTAAAAAATAGCAGAAAAACAAATCCGAAAGTCCGATACGTCGGACTTTGTGTCCGGAGTTTACTAAAAGTGGATTATTTGTGTTATTCTAAATTATTATGTTTGATTATCGTTTGCTTAAATGGTTATTTTTTTAAGTGTTAAAAAAAATATTTTATCTTTAATATATAACTGTAAATAAATCAAAACTAAATTATAATTTAAATTTAACATTAAATCTAATTTTACAAAATTGTTAATTTGCCACAAATAATTATCTTTACAGCCGAATTTCAAATGAACAAACAAACTTGTTTGATTTCATAAGTTATCAAAGTTTTCTCAGTTTGAGTATAAGAATAAACACAACATGAATTAATTACCACTTAACTTAAAGTATTCATTTGCATAAAATATTTTATGCCTCATAACGGGTGAACATTTAGTATTATTTGTATAAATCATTTTCCTCGTTTTATCATAAATAAAAGCATATCTTTCTTCATAGCACATTCGTTGTGAACAACTTTCCAAAACAGGTTTCAAGAAGTCCAATTTTCTTGAGTATATTAACCAATTGTGTAACGACTGGTCATACCCCCATATATCCCATTTATCGAAATTTGTGTATTCAATGAATGTTTGTAAATAACCCAACACTTTATTTGTACCTCCTAAGATAGTTCCCACATTGCTAGCAATTGTATTGTTTTTTCGGTATGCATTCGCCACATCCACTCCTATTGTTTTTTTCATCCAATTGTAGTCCACTTTAAAATTAAAAGTAAAGCAGTTGGTATTATTATTTAAACACTGCATTTGAAGAAGCAAATCGTTCTCAGAAAACGTGGCAAAAATGTCTCCAAATATATAAATGTCCCGAAGGTCTGAAATGAATACTCTGTCGTATAAATGACGACGTGGGTACAACCATTCTTTCCAGGCAAACATTCTTCTTGTTGCAGAGTTTCCTTGTTTGGTTGAATTGGATATTTTCGCATCAAATAATTCTATTGATATTCCATATTTGTCATACATATGTTCAAAGTTTTTAAAAGGTGGAGGTGACATCAATAAAATCTTCTTTGTTGCATGTGAGATAGACGAATTTGCAAGACCCAAAACAAAGTCAATACTTCTGTTTAAACGAAGAAATGATTTATTATCATTGAATGAATATGCAGTGAGCCATAAATCACGTTTGCTGTTTTTTGGATATTGAAAGACTTCTCCACATTTCCCAGAATAATTGAAATTGCGTAGATCTGTATGATAGTTGTGAAACATTTGAATGTCACTTTTATTGGTAAATATGATGGTATCATTTCTTGTTGTTTTATTGGTCAAACCAGATGTTAATAAGAAAGACACACTTATTATGAGAAATATAAATATGAATAAATTGAAGTAAAATACATATAATAACATCAACTTCAATTTGAATTTGAATTCTAATGGATTGGTTCAGTTCATCATTTTTTAAGATTAAAATATTGTATTGAACATGTTAGTTTATACACAAAATATTAAATAATTGTAAAGGGTTTTTATTGGTATTTAAAAAACAACTATTTTATTATATTTTAATAAATTTACAAAGAGAGGTTTATACACATTTATGTATATACACAAATATTTATTTAATTTTAGAATTTGACTAACAATTGTTATATAAGTGTTGTACAGAAATGATGAAGGTTTTTGTTTTTTAACCGCTTTTATTCTCTTTTTAATAGTTGTACATATTAATACTATAACAAAAAGTATATTAAATTATAACTTTAAACGAAGAAGATTTCCATTATGCATATTCAGTATGCACGGTAAACAATACCATATAAATTATTATATTAATATATTTTGAACCAATATAATCGGGTGGAAGCGGTTAAAAAAGGAAGCAATTTTCATACACCTTATATAACAAAAACAAATTATAACTTTTCATTAATGATATCAGATTCGATAATTATTTATCTACATTAATTCGTTTTTAATTATTTTACTTTTATTACTAACCAAAAAAGAGTATTTTTTGTGTAGAATAAAAAATAAAATTAAACTAAAAAAATTTTTTCACAAAATATTTTAATAATTATTGTTTTTTGTATTTAAAATAATTAATATTTATTCAAATTTTTGAGCACAAAAAATCTTTCGAAATGGTTTTTAATATGTAATTATCCATATTGTATACATTCAAACCTTTCAAGAACGGGAATAGTGCTTCGCAGTTTGTGAACTGAAGTTTTTTTCTATTTTTTTTCAAACTGAAAAAAATCACATTCAAGAATTTAATAATTTTTAATAACTTTATCTTCACTTTTGGGATTAATTTATTCAAACAAAATTATTAAAAAACACAATCATAAACTGTAAAACGGAACCAAGTTTGAAAAAAATAATTAAAAAAACCCAAAACTTTTAATTTTTTTTGTTTTTGTCAAAAATCCAAATTGTGATCAAAAATGCATTTTTTGTCAAATTTTGTAAAAATAGTTATTGAAGTAAACTGTGAAAAAAAACAATTGTTATTAATCCCAAGTAAATGGTGTTTTCAATTATTTACACAACAAAGTTATCAACACATTAAAACGTTTAAGTAAATTAATAACGAACATACGTAATTGTTAATATACATGTATAGTTAAATATAGTTTTAAGTTGAATGATGACTGTGAGTGACATTGTTATTCTCAAAATGTTGATCGTAACTTATGTGTTATTGATGTGACATTTTGTTAAAACGAAGAAAAGTCAAATATTATCAATTGTTACTTATTTCATTGTTTAACTAAGTCAATGTTCATAATGATCATTAAATCGCTTATTGTTGATAATTACATGTTAATGAGATATTATATACAATTAAAAATTGTTTTATTTTTTTATTATCACAACATACAACAGTAAACACGTGTATTTTGACAACATCACAACATTTATGATTAATTGAAATATAAGCGTGTATTTATTAATATTTTAGAATAAATTATAAAATATTGTTTTTTGCTACTCTTTTGTTCTAAAAACAGCCTAAAAACGTAATAACTATCAACTGTGTAAACATGTGGAATCTAATTCAATCTTTAAATAATAATACTAAATAAGTAATATCACATTTTACAGCATTTTTATCTTTTGACTTGGAGCTCACAAATACATGCACATGAGATAATATAATCTTTTTTCCGTAGTCTAAGTTTTAATAGTTATGAATTTTTAATCAAATCAAAAAAACAAAAGTTGTTAATTCTTTCATTGAGTTATAAAACCTGAGTATGTAAATACATATGATATAGTTTGTTAATTCAACTTTTTGTGTTGAACTAATTATATTTTTGGGTACGTCATAAATTTGAGTGATCATAAAAATAACGAGAATCATATATTTTTAAACAAAATTTTATATAATTTAATGTTGATATTATATATTCAAATTAAAAACAACAACTCAAATATAAACGAATAATTACAATTTATGATATATTGGTCTTTACTCCTTAAGTTCGGATCATAATAATTAATTATTTGCCAAATTTATAAAGAAAAACCGGTTATAACAAATGTATTGAAGTTGGTGAACATCTTTGTTCTGTTATAAACAAAGAGCCTTAAACAAATATTCAAAAATTAATATTAAATGAATGTCGACATATATAAAAAGTTATATAGAATAAAGAATAATACGTTTTCAATTTATTTGTTTTTGTATCATGTGATGTTTAAATTGCGTTTTAAAGTTTTAAATGTAATATGGTATAAATTGTATAAATTATAATGCGATGGTGATTGTATATATTGATTGTAAATTGTTTGCCTGAACAACCTTTTTATGTTTTTTATGAATTAATTAAACTTGAAGTTATGATGTAAAATATACAAGCCGTGAATAAATCTACAGTCTATATTTAAAGTTTATCATGAACCTTTTAGATTATTACAATATTTCGAGAAGTTGTACAAAAAAATATATCCCAATTGTTTATTTTTTTGCGTTTTACTTAATGTGGTGTTTATATAAAATTATTGCTATTTATTTGTCCCCCAGATAACATTAAAAGACTGCCCCTTATATTCAAACTTTAGATGATTTGTTTAATAATAAAAAATACCAATTATTTGTTTTGGATAATATAAACATTTTTGTTTATTAATTTAATATTTTTTGTTAAACTACTTTATGGTTCAAAATTTTTAGTTCTTTCAATTTTATTATTGTTGTATACACGTTTTCAGTTAATCATATTATAGACAATGTTGATGTAATTAGTTTCAAAAGTGCGATTTCGGTAAATCTATCATATATGGCTCCCATTTATTTTTTCCTAATTGTTGTCTTATATAAAAAAAGCAATTTGATAAACCCCTTTTCAAGTTATTTTCAATAATAATTACGTCTTTTTTCAGGAAAAAAATCAGTTAAAAATCAGTTAAATAACTGCGAAGCACTAGTCTTAAATAATAGGAATTAAAAAAAGTTGGAAAACAAATTAAAATTAAAAATACAGTGCTCATTGGTTTCAAATTGATAATATTTTTTAATAAATCGATTATGTTTTTATATTTATCGACAGTATTTTTTATGGTTTATATTGTATTTAATGAATTATATTACTATTAATGAAATAGATTGTGTTTTTTATAAATTATATTACTTTTAATGAAATAGGCTGTGTTTTTTTATAAATTATATAGCATTTGATGAAATAGACTGTGTTTTTTATAAATTATATGGCATTTAATGAAAGTGATTATATTTGTTATAAATTATATGGCATTTTTCTAATTTATACAACATTTTTAGTAAAATCAATAGTTTTTTTCTAAAATATATAGGATTTTTGATAACTTATATAACTTTTGTTTGAAAATATTTTGCTTTTTTTACAAATTATTGGATATTCCCGAATATTAGGAATAAAAATACACATAATAAGCAAGTTATTATTTGTTAAAAATACTTAATATGTAACTATATTTATACTATTATATAACTAAATTTTAATCTATTCTTATTTAGAACCTCTTCTCAATGAGGATATTTTTTAACATAATTATGTATATTTAAATAACGGGCAAAAAATGATACCATGCAATTGGATTATATCGACAGAAGAGATCCAGGAGCAAGAAACGACTATCATGAAAATGCACCATTATCCATGCAAGGGCAACCTGTACAACCTGTAATGTTGCCCCATCGAGATATCCCACCTCTTCAAAAAAGATCACGGGGTCGGCCCCGAAAATTGGATTCAAAAAAGAAGAAAACAAATACACGACCTTATTCTCGTGTTACAATTGATCAAAGAGATTCTTTGGTTGAACTATGGAGTAAAAATGGTGATAACATGAATGCTTCACGATATTCAGAAATAATGGGATTAAAAAAATAAACATTGAAAAGTATCTTTCAATGTTAAGAAAAGGGATATCAATATATCCAAAAAATCATTATAGAAGACAAAGCCGTACTTTACCTTTTCAAAAATTGGTAGAAAAAGCTATTAAAGAAGACACAACAACAAAAATAACTTCAATTAGAAAAATGATAGCACAAGAAGAAAAATTACGCGAAGAAGAAGATGTTGATGAAATAATTTTGGATATTCCAAAAATATCCAAGATTGCTGTTACTAAAGAGGACATTGATCTTTATGCACCTTCGATATCATCAATTGGAAATTTCATGACTGGTAAAACAGCAACAGGTGAAGAGAGAGAAGTCCCTATTTTTTCTTTCAAAAGAACAAAGACAAGAGGGCCAACAAGCAACACACCAGATAATAAAGAAAAAAGAATTGCAGCAGTAAACGCTCTAAGGGGTTATATAACAGGTGGAGCACGTTGGGTTTGTATAGATGAAACCAGTTGGACTGTAGCATCAACTCCTGCATATGGCTGGTCAGTTAGAGGGAAGGAAGCCTTCATCACAAAATCAAAAGGTGGTCTTCGCCTCACCTCCATATGCGCAGTTGATTGTGACGGACTCTCTTATTGCAATGTGGTTTGTGGAACAAACACATTAAATTCGTTCGAAGACTACTTCCGGTACCTAATTCATGAGTATGATATAAAACAAAGACAATGCGTTTTTGGGTGGATAATTGTGATATTCACAACACTATGAGAAGAATGCTAGATAATACAAATCACACTGTCGTATTTAATGCTGCTAACTCACCAGCACTAAACCCAATTGAAAATATATTTGGGATCTGGAAAAGTAGGGTTGAAAAAATGTGAGGACTTGGAATGGCATCCAAAATTTTCTTGAAAAAATCAGAGATGGTTTTTTTAACTATTAAACCAGAAGAGTGCCAAAGTTGTTTTGAAAATGTTAGGGAAATTGTGTGGCCTCGAGTGTACAACCAAGAAAATATTTAATCAAATGTTTTTAAACAATGTATGGTTAATATAGTTCATTTATTAGTCTATTATAATGATATATATATAATATATAATATATATAATTATATATTCAATAATAAAATATTTGAAATAATTATTGATAAAGTTATATTATAAATTTATTATTTTTATTATGTGTCATAATTGTGAAAATTTGTATTAAAATAAATAATAAAAATAGATTAAAATTTAGTTATATAATAGTATAAATATAGTTACATATTAAGTATTTTTAACAAATAATAACTTGCTTATTATGTGTATTTTTATTCCTAATATTCGGGAATATCCAATAATTTGTAAAAAAAGCAAAATATTTTCAAACAAAAGTTATATAAGTTATCAAAAATCCTATATATTTTAGAAAAAAACTATTGATTTTACTAAAAATGTTGTATAAATTAGAAAAATGCCATATAATTTATAACAAATATAATCACTTTCATTAAATGCCATATAATTTATAAAAAACACAGTCTATTTCATCAAATGCTATATAATTTATAAAAAAACACAGCCTATTTCATTAAAAGTAATATAATTTATAAAAAACACAATCTATTTCATTAATAGTAATATAATTCATTAAATACAATATAAACCATAAAAAATACTGTCGATAAATATAAAAACATAATCGATTTATTAAAAAATATTATCAATTTGAAACCAATGAGCACTGTAGTGTTTTTGGAGCGTTTCCAACAATTTCCCGAAATATTTAAGGTTTAATGGTCCAATTATTTATTATTATTGTTTTAAGACTGAATTTATATAATTACAGATGTTGGACTAAAGTTTCGATGAATACTAAGGTTTCGTTTTATTAATTGAATACTATTTGATAATAATGAACATGGTTTTCAATTATTTTCAAAAAAACGTCCAAATATAACTCTTATATTTAATTTTTACAATAGTATAAAAATTATGAATTAATAGTCGAAACCTTAGTACCACATATGCAATTATCAATCAAAAAAATATTATTAATTATAGTATTTTTAAATAAAATATAAAAACAATTATTAAATATTAAAACCATTTTAACAGAAACTTAAAATTATTAGATTAAATAAGTTAAAAAAATACAAAAGAAGTCTTATTCCATATTAGATTTTGTTTCAGATACACTCCAAAAATAATGTTATTTTAATTGATTTCAATTAATTATTTAGTTTCGAGAAGATACAACCTATTTGTATGTTTTGATTTTGATTGGTCAGGTAACCCACAAATAAGCGACTTTGATTGTATAATTAATGACATATTGTATTCCAATTTAACAATAATGTAATACATATACTTTAATTAATAACAAAACAATAATAAACACAAAAGTTTTCAATTAATTCTATTGTTATAAATTGTTAGTTTTTCAATAACATTTTTAATATCACATCTCGAGATTGGGTCTTGTTCCCAACTATTTTGTATTAGTAATTTTAAATTCTCTGGCACAGTATTTGGTATTGGTAGTCTTTTTCCATTTGACGTGTAATCTGCTATACTCCATGCATATTTAAACTGTTCTTCTTTAAATGAAAATTCCCATAAAAACACTTCAAACATAGTCATTGCAAATGAATAGACGTCTGCTGGCTTTTTATATTTCTTTCGGTTCAACACTTCAGGAGCCATATATGCTGGTGTTCCAATACCTTTAGTGAAAGTCATATTAGTCATCATCATATTAACATTTCTGCTTGTTCCAAAGTCGGTCAACTTAGCATTCACCTTTTCATTTATATCAAGTGAAAATATTAAAATGTTATCCGGTTTAATGTCTCTGTGCAATATCCCATTTGTGTGTAAATATGAAATACCTTTAGCAGCGTCTATCATATATTTAACTCGCAATTTGATATCAATTTCTTTACATGTTTTGTGTTTCATCAAGTCTTGTAAACTCCCATATTGTGCAAATTCGGTGACCATACATATCTTATTTGGTATGAACACGGCGCCATAAAAGTGAACTATATACTCACTTCTAAACTTGTCTAACATACACACCTCACTTTCAAATTCTTTGATAAGTTTGTCGTTGTTATTTACTTGTTTTATTTTCTTAATAGCAATGATATTTCCTCTGTAACTCCCTTTGTAGACAATTCCAAACGATCCTTCCCCAAGTTTCTTGTCTTCTTTCAATTCGTCGTAATCCAATTTAGTCGAGTTTTCTGTTGTGATTTCAATGGCAATTGGGACAGACACAGTCTCGCCATTTTCGATGTTCATGGTGACTATCATCATCTCATCTTGTAATTTCAATGAACAATGTGGTGTTACAAATATTTCAAACTCACACGCTTCACCTTTTTTTAAAGTCACCAATTGCGGCTCTGTGCGAATTGAGTATTTGTCACAATCCCCACGTGTTGTCATTTGGACTTTCAAAACGCCTTTGCCTTTGTTGCCAACACAGAGGAGCTCACGAGACTCTTTTTCGACGGGAATGACTTCACAGACATCATCAAATTTGAGCAACTTTTTGTTGGTTAAAATGTTACCGTCTAACACGCTCATCACTACGTTTGAACGATTCATTTTAAAGACACAGATGTTTTCCATTTTCTTTGTTTTTTCTTGTTTATGAAACACAAGAACTATAATTATTATAATACTAATTATAACAAGTAATAGTATTAGTACTATTACTATTGGAATGCCAACAACAACACCATAATTTGTGGTGTAAATGCAACTCAACATGTCGTCACTCAACTTGTATTTGTCATCACATCTTGAACATTTGTTGTCGGCAGATTCAACACAGTTTTCAATGGTTGTATAATGTGAACAGACACCTGACACAAGTACATTGTCTTTCACACAGTCAGTGCACTCATTGATACCTTTGCATTGTGTACACGTGTCTTGACACTTCACACACAAATTATTGGAGAGATAGTGTCCGCCTTCACATTGCATACAACCAGCTGTTGTTCTGTTTGCACACGAAGTCAACTCGCTTTGTGGCGAACACAACTTGGTGACATTTGATGAGGTGCGATAGAACGCTTCATTACACACAACACAGTTTCCTTCATTTGTGCACGACTTGCATGACTCATCACAATTAATACATGTTGTGCCATCAGATGACCGCATGTACCCCTCCTTACAGACGACACACCCGCGATATGTTGACATCAACACGTCACACACACTGACAAGCGCGTTGATTTCAGTGCAAACGCCGTTGTTGTTTGCATACGAGTAATCGTCGCACTTTGTGCAGAATGTCTGATTTGAACAGTAGACACAGGGGTACTCACACTTCACACACATGCGGTCTGCGAGGTAATACCCACTGAAACACCTCAGACACCCCTTTGTGGTTCTCACTTCACAATGGCTGTCTGTCTGTGTGTCTTCCTTTATAGTTGTCTGTCTAGTGGTCTCATTTGGAAGTGTTTGTGGCACACACGAAATTCCATCAAAGTTGTAATCAGACTCACACTCGACACATTTGGTGTTAAGTGACGAGACAACACCGCAATTAGACAACACGCCAGTCTTTTCTTTACAGCCATCAACATCTTTGTAATAACCACTTTTACATGTGACACACACTTTGTCAAATGAAGTGCAATGAATTGACTGGCTGTCTGTGCACAAACCGTCAACGTTGATGGAGTTGTTACACACAATGCAAATATCTCCATTTTGATTTTCACAATTGGCACTGTTTTGTGAGCATTTTCCTTGTGAGATGTGTTGTTTTGAATCACATTTGATACAATCATTACTTGACATTACAGAACACATCGCATTAGTTGTACACGCGCCATCTATCAACAATTTGTCATCTTGACATTTCAAATCTGTGATAATTCCATTTGAAATGACACACACTTCACTTTCACATTGTTTAATAGTGTTGTAGTTTGTTGTGTGATACCCATTCACTGCAAAGTAACAATACTCGTTGTGTGATATTCCACATTGTTGTTTTGCCTTACCACACAACACGTCATCAACACAATACAAACACTCGGTGCCACTTTCTCTGTTGATTTCATATTTACATTTTGTCGTGTTGGCACAGTTGTTATTCGATGTGATCACATCTGAAATGCAGTTGTCGCAGCCGTGTTGCGAATATGTATCACACTTCTCATGCATAACATTACAAACACCATTTAACAACATCGTTGTTGTATTACATAGGTAACACATTGTATCGATTTGGTTGATACACCCATCCATGTTGGTGTGTGATTGGTGATCATTTGTGTTGAAGTATGTTGTTGTGGTGTATCCCAAATTGCATGCCTTAGAGTCACTTGAAGTGATGTATGGCGCAAAACATGCAGTGCAAATGTGTTGATTGTTGACATAGTCTGCAATCTGACACTTTGGGATGACATTGTACGAGGAGTCACACGTCGTTTCTGTGACTCTGACCATCACAACTTCACATGCAACACAACTGGTGCCAGTTGATATCATGTTGCCTGCACAAGAGAGACATGTTTTCTTTGTTTTAGAACACTTCAGACAGTCTTTGTGAATATCACTACATGGTTGACAATCGGCACTTTCATTCAAATAAAATCCATCTTCACATGATACACAAATACCATCTGATGTCTCGTCTGTGCACAAATCGCAATATCCAGATGAAGCACACGACACACAGCTGTTATCAATTTTCTTGTTGCCAGCTTCGCATGACATGCACGCACCACTTTTTCTGTCACACTTCTTACATTCAGTCGAACACTGCTGGCACTGCATAACACCGCCTTCTGAGTATGTAAGGTCGCCACACAACGTACACACTCCACTGTCAAAGCCATATCCAGCAGCACATGTGAGACATTTTCCATCTGTTGCATTGCAACTTGCACACGACGAGTCACATAACTTACAGGTGGTTTGTCCCTCAACATTTTGGTATGCCATCTCATTACAACTCTGACACATAGAACTCGTGTAATAAGTCCCCTTTGGACATATGGCACACTTCCCAACTACAAAAGCATATCCAACAACACAACTGACACATTTTCCATTCGTTGCATCACACCCATCACAATGACTGTCACATTGTTGACATGATGATGAGCCAACAGTTGAGTAAGTCATCTCTCCACAAATTTTGCACTCAGAAAATCCTTCACCGGCATAGGTACCCGCCTTGCATACGTCACAAATGTTTGTTGTTTGATTTGCCATTGTTCCCGAATTGCACAGTGAGCACACTCCATTCGATAGAATAGCACTACTTGTACAGGCTATACATTTGCCACTTGTTCTCTCACATGGTCCTTGACACAGTACATCACACGTTTTGCAACTTGGTAATCCCGTTGTGTCGGCATAAGTCCCATCTGCACATGTATCACACCGCAAACTTTTTGGTGATGATGAAAATGTTCCAAGTAAACAATACTCACATTTGTTTGCAATGCTGTATGTACCAGCACTGCACACAGAACATGTTGTTGTTGTAATTCCCATACCCGACTCACATGACATGCAATACCCATTTGTCTTATCACAACTCAAACACGTTGAACTGCAACTTTTACACGTTGTGCTTCCTGCCAACGAGTATTGCATGTCTGTACAAGTTACACAACTTCCACCGCTTTGGTACGTTCCAGCCGAGCACGTGTCACATATTTTACCATTCAGAAAATATCCATCATAGCAAGATAAACAGTTTCCATTTGTTTGGTCACACGTTTTGCAACTTGTTGAACATGCTGTACACTTACTTGAACCACTGAGTGAGTAATACCCAGTCGCACACTTTGAACACAACGAAGTTCCACCACTCGAATAATACGATGCGGGACATATTAAACAGTTCTTATTATACAAATCATACGAATAGCCAACATTACACGAAGTGCACTCCCCCGTCGTTATTGAACACACTCCACAACTCGTAGAAACACATTGTACACACGTCGAACTTCCAGTTGTCGAATAAAACCCACTTGGACATTCACTGCAATATTTGCTTCCATTCATTGAATAAGTGCCAGGAATGCAATTTGAACATGTTGTTGATTCAACATTTGAAGTATACGTACCACTGGGACATGGGTCACACGACGAAGATCCTTCTTTTGGTTGATAATATCCATAATTACACACAGTACATCGAGCAGCCCCAGATGAACTTGCAGTTCCAGGAGGACATGGTTGACACAATGTTGGTTGTCCAAATTCAGAATAAGTTCCCGGATAACAATCTATGCATAAAGTTCCAGAATAATATTGTCCGGGTTGACAATTATCGAACGATTTGGTTGCTACTGAAAACAAAGAAAACATGAAAATTAGAACTTTTGCCATGAAATGGTTTTTATTGTTCCATAAATTGTTTAAAACTATTCGAAAATTAAATTGTTATTATTAAATTACATTTAAAGACAATTAATATTTTTATTAATTCAATATCATTTATTTATATTTCATTTAAATTATATCTAATTAATAAATATAATATAATTAATAGTATCATTAAAATTTTAGTTTAATCAGGGCTGCAAACCAGATTCAACTGGTGGCTAGCCCGTGTTAATTTTTAAATATTTTCAGCCAGAATTTGTGTTTGGAACTATTATTTCTAATTCGTTGAATAAATTAATTAGGATTTGTCAGCCAGTAGTGATAAAAAAATGGCTAGCCGCAAAATCGTCCAAACTATACACATTCTAAAATGATGGTAAAAAAGAAAACCATTTAAATAATGAGGAATAGAAAGTATAGTTTCATGTAGTTTTGAAAAGCCATAACAAATCTCCATGTTTTTTTAATAGTTTTAAAACATAGTAAATTAAATTAATGGTAATAGTTTGTTGTTTGTGTCAAACAAAAAATACTTAAGTAATTTATGATAATAAATGATTATTATTTCAGAAAAGAAACACACAAAAAACAAAAAGACAAAAAACAATATGTTATACCATTTAATATTTATGTTTTTAAAAATGTTTATTTCTGTAAAATTGTAATGTATCATAACCATCTTTATTTTGATTAATTTTTATAACATAAATATGAACATTTAATTGTTTGATGTGTTGTGTTTTCATCAACAGACATTACTTGTTTTTTACGTAATAATTATCATTAAAAAGCATTTTGAAGTGTTTCAATTAAATATTCTACAAAATGATGTACTACTTGATAAAATAAAATATATTGTTATTTGACGTGTACTCAAAATACATATTCAAATAAATTACCCAAATCTAACACTTTTTGAATATAAATAATAAAGAAAATGTCATAATATTCAACACTGACAATTTGTTTTAAATAATAATTGATAATTCATAGTGTAACATTAAAAACAAATTTTCAACGACCATTTAAATGTGTTTGGAAAGGGATTATACAAACAACTAATTAAAAATAATATGTATTTTTTAAAAAAAGATATGAATTGTTTTTGTAAGTCAAAACAAATTGTTTAATTTTGTACAAGTCGATCCAAAGTTGTTAACAAGTTGTATTGAATTGTAAATAAAAACGATTATCATGTTTTCATTGTCAAATGTGCTGTTTAGAACACAACGAAATGAACATTAATATAAATATATATACATATTGTATCGTCCAACCTAGTACAGTCATTATTGTCAAGATGACTGGGTTTGGGAAAATGGTTATTGTCAAGAAGACTTTTTGAAAAAAAATTAACTTATAAATAAATTAAAAATAGATCGACAAAATAAATATGTTTTGACCATTTTAATATTAAAACTATAATAAATAAAAATATTTCAAAATGAATAAATTTAAATATTTTTGTGATTTAAAGATTGAATAAACTGAAAAAACACAAAAATAATGAAACCAGACAAAACCATTAAATACAAAAGGGTTTTTCTTGAGAATTGGCAGAGAAAAGAGTTGTTGTCAATTAAAAAAGACAATCCAAATGCTACTGCCAGAATGATTAAAGAAATGTTTCTCCAAAAAATTGGTGTCAATACATCAATAGAAACTGTCAGAAAACTAATTTCGAAATATCAAAACGAAGACTTTGAATTTACCAGAGACACTCAAAAAGTAGAAAAAAAAAGTAAAATGTCCATTGTTGGAAAGTGCTACTGTAAACACTATGATAGAAATGAGAGAATCTAACATACCTGTAACATATCAGCTTATAATGTCTATTGGAGAAAGTTATATAAAACAACATAATTTGGTTGGAATAAAATGTTCTTTGGGTTGGGCACAAGGAGTCTGCAAAAGAAATGGATTTAAAAGTAAACGACTATGCGGAGAATCCGCTTCTGTTGATCTCAAAAATTACACACAAGAAATTGAACACCTTAAAGATGTCATTGCACAGTTTGAAAAGAAAAATATTTGGAATGCAGATGAGACAGGTCTTTATTACAGAGCTTTACCGACAACAACTATGACCAAATGTGAAATAAGTGGAACCAAGAAAAGCAAAGACCGAATAAGTGTAATGGTTTGCTGCTCGTGCATTGGAGAAAAAAGACCTTTACTATTCATAGGATTTTCTGAAAAACCCAAGTGGTTTAATGATAACAAATTTGGAAAATATAAAATACAGTACGCGAGTCAAAAGAATTCTTGGATGACAGTATATTTGTTTCAAAAGTGGATCATCGAGTGGGAAAATGAGCTACGTTTTTTCAATAAAGATAAAATACTATTAATACTTGATAACGCACCTTCTCATAAATTGGTCATGATGTCGGAAAATGTTTTAGAAATTGAGCCAATGGGTTACGAATACATTGGATTTGACGATAAAGTTAAAAAATATATCTACAAAGTAAAACTGGAAAAAATTGTTGTGGAATTTTTGCCTCCTAATACTACGTCTGTATTACAACCATGTGATTCTGGTATAATAGAATGCTTTAAAAAATTATACAGAAAAGAACTGCTGACAAGAGTTTACAACAATTTTGTATTTCCAAAAATTACAATCGGTGAAGCCATTGAAATTGGCTCAACAAAATGGACACAGGAAGTTAGTAGTGTCAGCATTTCAAATTGTTGGAAACACACTAAATTGTTCAAAAAAGATAACGAAATGGAAGTCGATGTGGTTGGAAAGAATTTGATATCTGATGAATATACTACAACTGATTTAAGTGGAGAAAATGATCCACCAGTACTTGATGATAATGACCATTTCGAAAAAACTGAAGAAACGTTCACCCAGTATAATAAAATTGAACACGCTCAAAGGTTAAGAAGTAAACTAGAAACTGAAATGAAAAATTTGCAAATATTGGAAAAAAATACTTTTGCACTCAAAACCAAAATTGGTGCTGATAAGGACGAATTGGACCGTTTGATACGTTCTGATAAAATGTTAGAACTTCTTTATTTATCCGAATAATTAATATTTAAAATTATTTGATTTTTATGTTATAATACCAGTAAATTGATTTTGTCGTGTTTTTTATATTAAAGCTGTTTTTATTAAATAATCGGGTTTTGTATTTTATTGCCAAGAAGACCAAAGTCTAAAATTAGATAATATAAGCAGTCAACTACATAATAAGTCTTCTTGACAATAAGTCTACTAGACAATAATGACTGTAATGTCAATTTATATTTTTTATAATTTTCATTCAATGAAACAACAAACTGTCATATAAATTAATTTGTGTCAAGATTTTAAGTCACTTTATTTATATTTTGGTTCTAATAATTCTAATATTTAAAATGAAAAACATATAAAAACTCCTTTTGTGTTTTATTTGATACACTGATTTGTGTTTAATCAATACAATGAAACAGTGATTACTTTAAGGTTTAAACAAGTTAAATTATATGTCATGTTCTAAAACAAAATGAAATGACAACAATTTTATTTTACTTCAATCCAATGACATTTTCATATTATTTATTAATGCCATTCAATAAAAATATTTTCTCAAAAACTTATTTGTTTTATTTTTCTTTAGTTTTTGGTTTAAATATTAAAATTTTTCTTATTTGTTTTTTCTGGTTATTATTTGTTTTTCAAAACACTTTTGGTCTTATTATTTGAAGGACAGAATAAAGTGTAGTTTTGAGCATATTATTCAAAAACATTCCCAAAACAGCATATTTTTTAATTTTTATGATTATTTTCCTTTAAATTGGGCAAAAAAAATTCTTTTGTGAATAGGATTATTTATTTTATCCAAAAAGATAAAATGCCATTATTTCTTTTTCAAAAAACGATTATTTAATTGAGGTTTGCAGCCCTGAGTTTAATGACATATTTAATTGTTACAATTATTTGAATAACCAACTAGCTTATTATTTAATTAAGAGTTGAAAATTATTTTAACGTTTTTCTTTGTGTAAAATTTTTGAATTTGATACAAAAAATTGTATACTATAATTTATCATTAATTTATAATATATTAATTGTTTTGTGCCAAAATAATTGTTTACTTATCTACATATCTACATATATATGTTTGTCAAACGCATATCCTCTATATATTATTTATGTAAAATTTATTTTTTTTCTGGTTATAGTTATTTTTAATTAATAAATTCATAATTGTTAGTTGTTCTATTTCAAGCCGCTAACAAATTCTATAAATTACTATATTAATATACTATAATTTACTATAACAATTCCAATAAACCTCTAAACTACAAATTTATAATTTTCATATAATTAAATTTACTAATAATTTTAAGGAATAATTCATAAACATAACTTAATATCCAAAAATAAAAAGGTATCGTGTTTGAGCATACATACAGACTGACAAAACTCAAGAAATAATCAAAAAATATTATTTTACTTATTTTTATAAAAAAACATATATAATATAGTATTATCATTACGTCAAAACATATAAATAAGAAATAATAATAATATTAATAATAAATTAATATTAATATTAAAGTTAATATATTTACATTTACATTTCTATGTTTTTTTCGTAACTTTACAACTTAAAGCGTCTAAAAACTAAAATATCTGAATGGATTTTTACTTTGCAAGAATAACACTCAAACAATGTAAGATTTTTATTACATTGAATGGAACACCTCAGCAACAAAAAGATGTTTGGTTGATGTCAAGTGCAGAACTAAAACACACCGCATTTGCAATTAGAGATAAGTTAAATCCTTCTATAAAGACTCTTTCACAATTCAATAGTAAAAAGCTTGAATCGCTCAATCAAAAAAAATAAAAAAATGAGTCTTATTTATTAACAAATGAAGTATTTAAAACGAAAACAAAATTGAGAATTTTATCATCATATGAAATAAAAAAAAATTGTCATGTATGGAAGGTGGAAGTTTGGAAACAAAAATGGATTTAGCAAATACAACAAAAAAAATAAAAACAACAAAAGAAACAAAAGAAACAAAAGAAACAAAAGAAACAAAAGAAACAAAAGAAACAAAAGAAACAAAAGAAACAAAGCTTAAAAAATATAACGAAATTGAAAACATGAAAATACTTGATGAGCTTAGAAAAGCACAAAAAGAAAGAATGTTAAATGATGAAGAACTGAATTTTGAAAGATCTCAGCGTTTCAATACCTTTGATCAAAAACAAGATAAACATGTTATTCCGTGTGAAATTGCCATAAATTCTATAGACAGAGAAGTGGAAGAATTTTATCTTGGCGAGATGAATGTCGAGTGTCAGTATTGTAAAGCGTTGCATTTTAAATGTGAAGCATCTAAAAACAAAAATGTTAAATTTGCTCCTTTTAATGCATGTTGTCATCACGGAAAAATAAAACCGCATGACATGAAACCACCAGAGCTCATTGATGATCTTCTTAATGTAGTTAATGTTAAACATCAAAATTTTAAGCAACACATCAGAGCTTTCAATTCTGCAATATCATTTGCTTCTTTTGGTGCACATGTGAAAGAACAAGGTCATATGAGCAACTTTGTTATACAAGGTTCTGTCTACCACAAAGTTGCCAATGCTGAACCTATAGGAGAAGAACCACGAGGGTTTGGACAATTATACTTCATCGAAGCAGATCAGGCTGTTAAAGAAAGGGCAGATGGTAAGTATACATCTTCATGTGACAAAGAAACACTACAATTACTTGATACATACATAAGGCAAAACAACGCCATAGCAACTGTGTATCGAAGAATGAAAATTGTTGCTGATGATAATCCAGACAACGATGACATTGGAATGGTTTTCTTTAAAGATGATACAAAAGATAAAAGGAGGTACAATTTGCCAACAACATCGGAAGTTGGCGCAGTTTTTAAAAGTGATGATGAAGAAAATGCCTTTCCGTTTAAACGTGATATTGTAGTATATAAAAAAGTACATGGAACTCACAAAGACCAAATGGTTAATGTATCATTATTAAGTAGAATGCTTGAGCCATTCTGTTATGCACTTATTTATCCCAAAGGCCAAATGGGTTGGCAACAAGAAGCAAAAAAGACCTTCCTGATAACTCAACCACAAAAAGAGATAAAGTAACATTGCTTCAGTATTACGCATCTCTATTTTCTGTTAGAAATGACAAAAATCCTGTACTCCATATGTACAATCTCACTCAACAATTTATGGTTGATGCATATGCAAGAGTTGAATCTGCGACTTTGAATTATTACCAAACACACCAACACGAATTGAGGTCAATGAGTTATAATGGAGTGAGAGACCAAATTGTTAAAGATCCAAATAAAAATACAAAAGCAAAAGGTCAAAAAGTAATACTCCCAGCTACTTACTCCAATTCTCCAAGAAATCTCGGCCAAAAATGTGCAGATGCAATGGCTATTTTCGCAAAATTTGGTCCTCCGGATTTGTTCATAACATTCACAGCAAATCCAAACTGGAGAGAGATTAAAGAAAATCTTGAAAAAGACGAAGTGGCAATTGATCGTCCAGACTTGGTTACAAGAGTGTTTAAATTAAAACTCGACCAACTAATAAAAGAAATCACAAAATGGGAAATATTTGGGAATGTCATTGCTTGGGTTTATCGTATAGAATTTCAAAAGAGGGGGTTACCTCATGCTCATATTTTAATAGTTTTGGATTTTAAATCAAAATTAAAGACGGTGGATTGTATTGACAGAGTTATCTGTGCTGAATTTACTGATAACGAAGAAGTGAAAAATTTAGTGAAAAAGCATATGGTACATGGTCCATGTGGAGATTACAATAAAAATGCAGTTTGTATGGAAAACGATAAATGTATTAAATATTTCCCTAAACCATTATGTGATGAGACAACACTTATTAATGGTTACCCAATATATAGAAGAAGGCAAAGTTCTACTGTTAAAATTGGTAAATACCAATTGGATAACTCTTGGGTTGTACCATTCAACCCATACCTTTTGAAACGATTTAGAGCACATATTAATGTTGAGTGCTGCTCAGGAGTGGAGAGTATTAAATATATATAAGTATGTGTACAAAGGATGTGATGCTGCAGTGATTGGGTTGATGGATAAAACTAATAGCGAAATTAAACAGTATATTGATGGAAGGTATTTGGGATCAAGTGAAGCCTGTTGGAGATTATTTGAATTTGATTTAAATGGTCGATCTCATTTCGTTGAAAGACTTCCTGTTCACTTAGAAGGTGAAGAAATAGTGTATTTCAAAAATGGAAGAAAATTAAAAGAAATAGAAAAACATCCCACAAAGCTCATTGGTTGGTTTGAACTAAACGCTAATGATGAGTTTGCAAGGAATCTTTTCTATTTCGAAATTCCTCTTTTTTACGTTTGGAAAAATTGGAAATGGCAACCAAGAAAAAGAAAAAGTTTCTCCACCGTTTCCAGAATGTACATAGTTTCAGCGAAAGACATACAAAGGTTCTGCTTAAGACTTCTTCTTAATCACATCAAATGTGCAACAAGTTTTAAAATGCTTAGAACTGTAAATGGTCATGAATATGAAACATATGAAGACGCATGTGATGCGCTTGGGCTCATCTGTGATGAAAATGAATGGGATGATTGCTTTAATGAAGCAGTTAAAACTCAAATGCCCGACAAGCTTCGTGAACTATTTGTGTTTATATGTACTTGCAACGAATATATGAAGTTTAAGAACCTGTGGATGAAGTATAAAAAATATCTTATAATGGATAAATATCAAAAGGCGTGTCAGAAGAGAAAGCTGAGATTGAAACACTTTTGATTATGGATAATATGTTAAAAGAAAATGGGTTTTCTTTGGGTGATTTTGGCATCACGTATGCTCATATGGAAGTTGAATGTGAATTGCCTGATGCGGATATTGGTCCTTCTCCAAATGAAATAAAAAGAAGAATAGAAAGTCTTAACCCACAACAAAGAGCGGCTTTTAATAAAATAAGTTTTGCTCTTGAGTTTGAAGAATCACCAAATAGGTGTTTTTTCATCGATGGTCCTGGTGGGTCTGGAAAGACTTATTTGTATAACACTATTATTGACTGGGCCATCGAAAATGGCAAATTTGTAAAGATATATGCATTAAGTGGAATTGCATCTACACTCCTCAAGGGTGGTCGAACTCTTCATAGTTCATTCAAGCTTCCGCTTAATTTTAATATAAATAGTAAATGTAATGTTGATGAGAACAGCAAAGAGGGTAGAATGTTTAGAAATGTTGATTTAATTCTAATTGATGAAATATCCATGGTGCCAAAAAGAATGCTTCAATGTATAGATACATTTTTGAGAAATGTTGGTAATAAAAAACTACCATTTGGAGGAAAAGTTGTGATAGTTGGTGGAGATTTTAGACAAACACTTCCAGTTGTTCCACATGGTAGTAAAAACGATATCGTTAAAACATGTGTGAAAATGGCACCTGTATGGAGACGTTTTGAAAAGCTTGAATTAAGAGAAAACATGAGAAGTGTCGGACAAAAAGAATTCAACCATTGGCTTTTGGAAGTGGGGAATGGTAATAGTGATTAGTTGAAATTCCCAAAAATATGCAATTTTTCGATCTTATTAAAGACGTTTTTGGTGACAACATAAATGATCTCGGCGACGAAGAAAAAGCTTCACGTGTTATTCTTTTGCCTACTAATAACAGAGCACTTGATGTCAACACCAAAATAATTAAGAAATTATCTACTCAACAAAAATCGTATGACTCAGATGACTCGGTTGGTAATGGAGAGAATAATATATACCTTCCTGAGTACCTCCATATGTTTTGTCCTTCAGGTACACCGCCTCATCATTTAGTGTTGAAAGTTGGAACGATTGTCATTCTTCTCAGGAATTTGAACGTGTCGCTTGGATTGTGTAATGGAACACCTTTAATTGTAACAGAGTTGCAATTACATTCGATTGTTGCTAAAAATATACAAACTGGAAGGTTGGTTATTATACCAAAAATAGTTTTTACTCCGAGTGATAAAACTCTTTCATTTCATTTAAGACGTGTCCAGTTTCCAGTTATACCCGCATTTGCAATGACAATAAACAAGTCACAAGGCCAGTCTTTTATGCATGTGGGTATCGACTTGACATATCAAGTATTCTCTCGTGGTCAATTGTATGTGGCTCTCTCAAGGAGTAAGGATAAAAATAACATTAAAATTAAAATGCCAGAAGAAAAATGTAAAAAGGTTAATTGTGTTTAAAATGTTGTTTATAAAGAAGTTTTTTAACAAAAAATTGGTTTAAAATGTTTTACATTAATATTTTTTGTTTAAATAAACATTATTAATAATAATTAAACAAAAAACAAATGTTAAAATAGATGTAACGAAGAAGCGTTCGCATAAATATACAACATAACTTATAATTAATAATAGAGTAAGTTGTAAAACGTTGTCCCAGTCGCCAACGTTGTCCCGCTTAGAATATTCTCTTTTGTGTGGAATCATTCTACGATATATTCAATAACCGTCATTGTAAAAACAACAAAAATGTTTTTAATTTTGTTTTTATTTTAAATTATTTTTTTTTCGAAACATTACAAAAACTTAGAAAATAATCATTAACTTATTTAGTTCTCTTTTCCTTCTTTTCAGAAGAGCAATCCAAAAACCCCTTTAAAATGACGCACATAAGAAATGGGTCAGTCAAGTGTGTGTAGTCACTTCAAACACTTTTAGTAGAATTAACATGCATGTCATAATAAGTTAGACGAACTGAATGTTAGTTAAACTGAATGTTTCAAACACACAAAATGAAAAAATAAACATTTGGATGTTAATGTGCATAAAACAAACCTCTAGCACCATAGTTGCAACGAATATTGAAGAAATGTATATACCTGAAGAGCGCAATTCCTATAACGTAAGTCAATGGTTGATTCGATATTAAACAGACCTTGTATTTTTTATCTGAAGAATCAGTTAAACCCTTAGAGTTTTTTTTAGGTTAATTATAAGTATAGTTTTAAAGTTATAATAATATAGATTATATTATGTGTAATTATTTAACTATAAAACTATACTACCATATACAATAATTAACATATAAAATAAATTAACACATTTTAACTAACGAAAAACTACTTTGAATAATCATCATAAAATTATAAAAAAAGAGTTTTTAATTATCTTTTACTCGTTGATTTTTCAAACTAAAGAGCAAACAAAATATCACTCGTAAACAATTGTTTTGTTGAACTGGAGCAATTTAACTCTTTTCCTTTTAAACAAAATCATTCCACACTTGGTTTCTAATTGCGAGTTGGCACAATCTCTTGCGTTTTTTCTTAAAGTTTTGTATATTTCCTTTTTGACATTGTCGATATTATCGCCTTCTTCATTTGACATCTCATTCATACATCTGTCAATTTCTTGCTGCTCGAAAAAGCAATTCAGCTTCGTGCATGAAGATGGCACCACTTCACATACTGTACTCAAGTTTTGAAGTAGTCTCGGTACTAACCCGCATGCAATAAAGGAAGACACCACATTCTTTGATGTGGTCACTCTTTCCCACGAATGACAATCGACATAATTTGTACAGATATATAGGAAAGGTGACCGTATGTGTCATTCATCAACGATTTATCAGTTGTACATGCCCGTTTCTGATTTCCAAATATCCCCACATCACACATTTGCAACAAATGAGATGAGTGTGGGGGGAGTAGTATTATTTTGACGTTATTCTCTGTCAACATTTCTACAGCGCCTACTCCAAGATGAGAACCGTAACCATCCATTACAAGAATTGACATACCGCTATAACCATGTTTTCTTCTTTTTTCAAGCAATTCGGGAATAAAAACACTTCGGATCCACTCTTCAAATAATTGATTTGTCATGAACGCTTTTTTTGTGTACTTCAGGCACGCTTTATTGTTTGTCAAACCCAATTCTAAAAGCTCCTTTTCAACACTTTCTGTTGGTATAATGAAAAAAGGTTTCAGTGCTGTGCCATCCATACAAATTGCTGCCATCAATGTTG